GCAAATTTATGTGTAATTTGCAGTGCTTACTTCTACTCCAAATGCCACCTGGTACTTAGCCAAGGCTCACTGGACTGGTCTAGGTTAAATGGACTCCTTCTGGCCTTGCCTGATAGGGAGGCACAGGTTTATCCCTCTCCGGTGGCAGCAGTGGGCTGAGCAGAGGATGCTAAGCCCAGTTCACTGGGTCAGTGTGGCTTCCTTCCTCGGTACCACCAGTGGGGGGTTGAAAGGCCCTGACACCTCTCTCCAATGGCAGGAGAATTGGGAAGGGAGACTTTGACGTGTCCACACACAGGAGCAGACTGGGTCTAAGCACCTGAGTGTGGGATTGGGGTCCAGCTATTCGCAGGCAGAGTTGTGACCGGAGGAATGGAAACAGGCAGTTTGCTGACATCACCTAGTGTGAGCACCACAGCAACCCACCACCAGCCAGCAGCTGTTACCCTCCTTGCTCACCTAAATCCATGATGTCATAGGCCACTACATGGCAGACCTGGCCTCTGTCTGGCTCCAGGTAGATGAAGCTTTAAAAAGCAAAACAGAACCCGGCCGGTGTGGCTCAGTGGTTGAGCGTCGACCCTGCACCAAGAGGTCACTGGTTCGATTCCCGGTCAGGGCGCATGTCCAGGTTGTGGGCCTGATCCCCAGTGGGGAGCACGCAGGAGGCGGCCAATCGATGTTCTCTCTCATCGATGTTTCTATCTCTCTCTCCCTCTCCCTTTCTCTCTCTCTCTAAAATCAATAAAGAAAAAAAAATATATATATATAAACCAAAACCAAAAAAAACCAGGAAAGAAAGAAAAAGAGACTAGAATTTTGTGAGGAAGAAGCAGGACACTAGGCCAGAAATGAAAACCTGGGAAACACAGCCATGGACCCTGGCATGCATTTAATCCCCCCCCCCCCTTTCTCTCTCCCCCAATTTTGGCCTTCCTTATTAGCATCATTGATTTCATTTAAAAAAAAAAAGATATTTAGAGTGTATGTCAGTCAAAGTATCTGCTGAGGTCCTGCCGAGAAAGCCCCGTGGTGACGGGGAGCACAGGCTGGAGTTTTCAGAGGTCTTTTGTGTCCCTGGGCATGTCTCACAGTAGCTTAGGCCAATGCAGTAGGTGGACAGAGCCTGGGCCCCTGGCACAGCTCCTGAGGAAATGCAGAGGTTCCCTCTCCCTCCCTCCCCACACATGCTGGGTGCCCGCTGGAGAGACAGTCATCCTAACCTCCAGTTGTGCCTCCCAGCAAGCAAAATTCCACATCTACTCAGAATATTGCAACCACCCTGACGTCTGCATGGAACTCTCCGGCTCACCAAGCTCAGCAGGGACATGTCCTTCTTCGAGGCCTGCCGGCTGGTGCCGAAGACCATCAGCATCTCCCCGGACGGCTTCCAGCTGACCTCAGTGCAGATCTGCAAGTACGAGCTGCAGCTGGCCAGGCTGCTCAAGGACACCCACCCCCAGCACAGGCAGGGGACTTCTGAGGGAGGGAGGACAGCCAGGGGCTCCTTACGCCGTGGGCAGCCAGTTTGTTGAGTACTCCTGGGGTACTGGGCACTGCTGTAGGTTCTGGGGCGACAGCGCAGAGTAAAACCATCTCTGCTCTCACAAGCTATTGTTGGGATGAGGGAAGAGACGTTAATAGGATAATATGTTCTGCCTCGTGTGGCATCTGTGGAGAAAACGGAGGTGTACACGGGCAGGCGACGACATCGACAGGCTAAAGGGCACAGACCCAGCGGAAGCAGCTCCACACGCAGTTCCAGGAGGCTCCAGGCCATTCTCTGCTCTCCACCCCCAGCCCTCTTCCATTTCTGTTCTGCCCCAGGGATTTCAAGGGTGTGGAAGCTGCTTTACAGGCCATGAAGGACGTGGCCCGACTCATCCATAAACGGAAATGGAGACTTGAAAACACCGACAAGATTGCGAAGTGGCAGAACTCCACAGAGAACTGGAAGGTGAGGGCCCCAAACTCCAGAAAATACCATGGTGCTTGGCCACTTGCTTTACAATCATACTTGCTTCTGAAACATCTAGGAGGGAGCTGGGGCAAGCAGCTATGCTCCTGGAGCTAGCAAACAAGAGCTGGTGGCAGGAAATCGAGTCCTCCCTCCCCAGGTGACTGACCTGAGTACTGGGCCCCAGTCCCTTAGTGCCTTGCCCAGAGCAGGCCTGGTGGCCTCTCTCTCGGAGAAGAGTGTGTGGGAGCCGACTTGCCTTACACAGCCACCGGAGCTACGTGCAGCCAGCCAGCCCAGCAAGAGCATCCTCTGCCCTCAGGGGCTGGCAGATCCCCAAGTTTTGGGATTCCCAACAGAAGGATTCGGTCCTGCCAGAGCATCACCAAAGATGGATCACCATCAGTTAAGAGCCTCCTGGTCCCTTTTATCTGGCTTGGACATTCACCTTGTATCCTCCAATCTTGCCTTCTCAGGCATCATGGAGGCCTGAGCTAATGGTGACATTCCAGTCCTCCAAGAGGAATTATCCTTAAAAAAAAAAAATTTATTGCAGTGACACTGGTTTACAAAATTATATACGTTTCGGGTACACAATTCTACAACACATCATCTATACACTGTATTGTGTGTCCATCACCACAGATCCCCACTGCACCCTCCTCCCTCCATTCCTCCCCCCCAGCAATCACCACTGTGGTCCGTGTCCATGAAATTTTTTTCTCAGTCCTTCCACAGCCTTATGTAGCCCCTGTCACAACACCATAACTCTTTATGAGTCTGTCACTATTTTGCTTGTTAGTTCATTATGTTCATTAGATTCCACATATGAGTGAAATCCTGTGGTATTTGTCTTTCTCTGACTGGCTTATTTCACTTAGCATAATGCTCTCCAGGTCCATCCACGCTGTCCCAAGGGTAAGGTTTCCTTCTACTTTACAGCTGAGTAGTATTCCATTGTGTATGAGCATGGGTTGCCTCTAAATCCTGACTATTGTAAATAATACTGCAATGAACATAGGGGTGCATATATTCTTCTGAATTAGTATTTCTGGTTTCTTTGGATAAATGCCAGAAGGGGAATCACTGGGTCAAAAGGCAGTTCCATTTAATTTGCTGAGGTAACTCTACACTGCTTTCCACAGTGGCCGCACCAGTCTGCACTCCCCCAACAGTGCACGAGGGCTCCCTTTTCTCCACATCCTCGGCAACACTTGTTGATTTATTGATAATAGCCATTCTGACAGGTATGAGGTGATAGTTCATTGTGGTTTTAATTTGCATTTCTGATGATTAATGATGTTGAGCATCTTTTCATATGCTCAACAAATATGCCATCTGTATGTTCTCTTTAGAGAAATGGGTCCTTTGCCTATTTTTTAATTGGATTGCTTTTTTTTTTTTTTGGATGTTGAGTTTTATAAGTACTTTATAAATTTTGGATATTAACCCTTTATCACATGTACCAGTGAATATGTTCTCCCATTCAATGGGTTGTCTTTTCATTTTGTTGATGGTTTCCTTTTGCTGTGCAAAAACTTTTTAGTTTGATGTAGTCTGATTTGTTTTCCTTTTGTTTTCCTTGCTCAAGGAGATACGTCAGAAAAAAATATTGCTATGATAAATGTCCGAGATTTCACTGCCTATAAGTTTTATGGTTTCAAGTCTAACATTTAAGTCTTTAACCCATTTCAGTTTATTCTTGTGTATGGTATAAGAAGGTGGTCTAGTTTTATTTTTTGGAATATATCTGTCTCTGGGTTTACCCAGTTCCTCGGACTATTATGTTCATTATATTCCACAAATAAGTGAGATCATGTGGTATTTGTCTTTTTCTGTTTGGGTTGTTTCACCTAGGATAATAATTTCCAGGTCCCGCCATGTCATCTCAAAAGATAAGAAATCTTTCTTTCTTACAGCTGCATAGTACTCCATTGCATATATGTACCATCAATTTTTTATCCATTCATCTACTGATGGACACTTGGGCTGTTTCCAGATCTTAGCTATTGTAAATAGTGCTGCTACGAACATGGGGGTACATATATTCTTTCTGATTGGTGTTTCAGGCTTCTTAGGGTATATTCCTAAAAGTGGGATCACTGGGTCAAATTGAAGTTCAATTTTTAATTTTTTGAGGTAACACCATATTGTTTTCCATAGTGGCTGCACCAGTCTGCATTCCCACCAGCAGTGTACTAGAGTCCCCTTTTTTCCACACCCTCGCCAACACTTGTTGTTTGATGATTTGTTGATGGTGGCCATTCTGACAGATGTGAGGTGATACCTTATTGTTGTTTTAATTTGCATCTCTCTGATGATTAGTGATGTTGAGCATTTCTTCATATGTCTCTTGGCCATTTGTATGTCCTGTTTGGAGAGGTGTCTATTTAGTTCCTCTGCTCATTTTTTAATTGGGTTCTTTGTCTTCCTTTGGTTGAGTTGTATGAGTACTCTATATATTTTGGAAATTAACCCCTTATCTGATGTATCATTGGCAATGATGCTCTCCCATACAGCGGGTTCCCTTTCCATTTTGATGGTTGTTTCTTTTGCTGTGCAGAAGCTTTTTAGTTTGATGTAGTCCCATGTGTTCATTTTCTCCTTTGTTTCTGTTGCCTCGGGTGATGTATGAGTGAAAATTCTGCTGTGTATGATGTCCGAAATTTTGTTGCCTACATTTTCTTCTGGGACTTTTTTTTTTATAGATTCATGGGTCAGATTTAAGTCTTTTATCCATTTTGAGTTTTTATTCTTGTGTATGGTGTAATTTCATTTTTTTGCATATAGCTGTCCAATTTTCCCAACACCATTTATTAAAGAGGCTGTCCTTACTCCACTGTATGCTCTTGCCAACTTTGTTGAATATTAATTGAGCATAGTGCCTTGGGCCCATTTCTGGGTTCTCTGTTTTGTTCCACTGGTCTATATGCCTGATCTTGTGCCAGTACCAGGCTGTTTTGATTACAGTGGCTTTGCAGTATAACCTGAAATCTGGTAATGTGATCCCTCCAACTTTGTTCTTCTTTTTCAAGATGGCTGTGGCTATTCGAGGTAATTTTTGGTTCCATATGAACTTTTGAAGTATTTGTTCTAGTTCTGTGAAGTATGTTGTTGGTATTTTGATGGGGATTGCATTGAATCTATAGATTGCTTTGGGTGTTATGGACATTTTAATGATGTTAATTCTTCCAAGCCATGAACAAGGTATGCGCTTCCAATTTTTTATATCTTCCTCTATTTCTTTTTTTAATGACCTGTAGTTTTCTGCGAATAGGTCCTTTATTTCTTTGGTTAAGTTTATTCCTATGTATCTTAATTTTTTTTGCCGAATGGTAAATGGGGTTGTTTGTTTAGTTTCTCTTTCTGTGAGTTCATCATTGGTGTATAAGAATGCCATCGATTTCTTGATGTTAATTTTGTATCCTGCTACTTTGCCAAATTCATTTATTAAGTCTAGTAAATTTTTGATGGAGTCTTAGGGGTTTTTTACATATAGTATCATGTCATCTGTGAATAATGATAGTTTCACTTCCTCCTTTCCAATTTGGATCCCTTTTATTTTTTTCTTCCTGTCTGATTGCTGTGGCTAAGACTTCTAGTACTATGATAAATAAGAGTGGCCAAAGTGGGGATCCTTGCCTTTTTCCTGTTCTTAAGGGAAATGCTTTTAGTTTTGGTCCATTGAGTATGATGTTGGCTGTAGGTCTTTCATATATGGCCTTATTATGTCGAGATATGATCCTTCTATTCCCACATTGCTGAGCGTTTTTATCAGAAATGGATGCTGGATTTTGTCGAAGGCTTTTTCGGCATCTATTGATATGATCATGTGGTTTTAATTCCTCATTTTATTTATGTGGTATATCACGTTTATTGATTTGCGAATATTGTACCATCTTTGCATCCCTGGAATGAATCTCACTTGGTCATGGTGAATAATTTTTTTGGTGTATTGCTGGATCTGCTTTGCTAGTATTTTGATCAGGATTTTGGCATCTATGTTCATCAGGGATATTGGCCTGTAGTTTTCTTTCTTTGTAGGGTCTTTTTTTGGTTTTGGAATTAGAATTATGCTGGCTTCATAAAATGAGTTTGGAAGTCTTCCTTCTTCTTGAATTTTTTGAAATAGTTTGAGGAGAATGGGTGTTAGTTCTTCTTTGAATGTTCGGTAAAATCCCCCCATGAAGCCATCCGGGCCTGGGCTTTTGTTTGCTGGGAGAGTCTTGATTACATCCTCAATTTCTTCTGTTGTTATTGGTCTGTTCAAGTTTTCTATCTCTTCCCAGTCCAGTTTTGGGAGACTGTGTGTTTCTAGAAATTTGTCCATTTCGCTTAGATTGTGGAATTTGTTGCCATACAATTGTTCATAGTAGTTGTTAACGGTCTTTCATATGTCTGCGGTGACAGTTGTTACTTCTCCTCTTTCATTTCTGATTTTGCGTATTTGGGTTCTCTCTCTCTTTGTTTCTTGGTGAGTCTAGTTAAGGGTCCATCAATCTTGTTTATCTTTTCGAAAAACCAGCTCTTTGTTTCATTGATCCTTTGCATTGTTCTTTTGGTCTCTATGCCATTTCTTTCTGCTCTGATCTTTACTATTTCCTTCCTTCTACTTGCTCTGGAGTTTTCTTTTTGTTTGCTTTCTAGTTCTTTAAGTTGTGAGGTTAGATAGTCTATTAGAAATTTTTCTTGTTTCTTGAGGTAGGCTTGCAGCACTATGAACTTCCCTCTCAGAACTTCTTTCGTTGCCTACCATAGATTTTGTGTTGTTGTGTGTTCATTTTCATTGGTTTCCAGGAAGTTTTTAATATCTTTCGTGATCTCCTCAGTAACCCATTTCTTGTTTAATAACATGCTGTTTAGCCTCCATGTGTTCAAATGTCTTTGCATGTTCTTGTTGCAGTTGATTTCTAGTTGCATTCCATTGTGATCTAAGAAGATGCTTGATATAATTTCAATCTTCTTGAACCTGTAGAGATTTAGTTTGTGTCCTATCATGTGGTTTATCTTTGAAAATGTCCCATGTGCACTTGAGAAGAATGTGAATTCTGTAGTTTTGGGGTGTAATTCTCTGTAGATATCTATTAAATCCATTTGGTCTAGTGCTTTATTTAGAGTGTGTGTTTCCTTGCTAAGTATTTGTCTAGAGGATCTATCCAGTGATGTCAGTGGGGTGTTGAAGTCCCCTGCTATGATTGTATTCCTGATGATTTCTCCTTTGAAGTCCTCCAGAGGATTTTGAATATATTTTGGTGCTCCTATATTGGGTGCATATATGTTTACCAAGGTTGTATCTTCCTGTTGGATACATCCTTTCAATATGATGTAGTGGCCTTCTTTGTCTCTACTTATGGCCTTCATTTTGAAATCTACTTTATCAGATATGAGTATTGCTACCCCAGCTTTTTTTCCCTTTTCATTTTCTTGAATTTTTTCCATCCCTTCACTTTCAACCTATGTGAGTCTTTTTTGTGAGGTGGATCTCTTGAAAACAACATATAGATGAGTCGTGCTTTCTTTTCGTATCAGCTACTCTGTGTCTTTTCATCGGAGCATTCAGTCCATTTACATTTAAGGTAATTATTTATATGTACTTATTTATTGCCTTTTTTTTTTTTTTTTAGTGTGGTTCTATTTTTCTTCCTATTTCTTCTACTAATTATAGCAGTCCTTTTAACATTTCTTGCAGTGCTGGTTTTGTGCTAATGTATTTCGATAGCCTTTTGTTTTGTCTGGGAAGCTCTTTAGTTGACCTTCTATTTTGAATGATAGCCTTGCCAATAGGGTATTCTTGGATTCAGATCCCTGTTTTTCATGATCTTGATTACTTCATGCCATTCCCTCCTGGCCTGTAGTGTTTCTGTTAAGAAGTCAGCTGAGAGCCTTATGGGGGTTGCTTTGTAGGTAACCTGTTGCTTATCTTTTGCTTGTTTTAGGATTCTCTCTTTATCTTTAATTATTGGCATTTTAATGACTATATGTCTTGGTGTGGGCCTGTTTGGGTTCTTCTTACTTGGGGCTCTCTGTGCTTCTTGAACTTGAATGCCTTCTTTCTTCACCAAATTGGGGAAGTTTTCTGTCACTATTTCTTCAAATATATTCTCTAACCCTTGCTCATTTTCTTCTTCTTCGGGGACTCCTATGATATGAATATTATTGCATTTCCAGTTGTCCCACAGTTCTCTTAAGCTGTCTTCCTGTTTTTTAATTGTTTTTTTCCTTTTGGTTTTCTGATTGGTTGATTTTTTCTACCCTGTCTTCTAATTCACTGATTCGGTCCTCAGCTTCCTCTACTCTGCTTTTTAGACCTTCCAATGTGTTTTTTATTTCTGCTATGTCATTCCTCATTGCTTCTTGGTTGTTTTTCATTTCCAATTGGTTGATTTTCAGCGTTTCTATGTCTTTACTTAAGGTTAGACAGTCAATTAGAAATTTTTCTTGTTTTTTGAGGTAGGCCTGTAGTGCTATGAACTTCCCTCTCAGAACTGCTTTCACTGCATCCCATAGATTTTGTGTTGTTGTGGGTTCGTTTTCATTGGTTTCCTGGAAATTTTTAATTTCTTCCTTGATCTCCTCGGTAACGCATTCATTGTTTAATAACATGCTATTTAGCCTCCATGTGTTCAAATGTCTTTGCATGGTCTTGTTGCATTTGATTTCCAGTTTCATGCCATTGTGATCTGAGAAGATGCTTGATATGATTTCAATCTTCTTGAACTTGTAGTGACTTAGTTTGTGTACTAACATGTGGTCTGTCTTTGAGAATGTCCCATGTGCTGTTTGTGGCTCCCTCTACTGGGTTTGGATGAGCAAGGAAGGACCTAGATGAAACACCCCTGTCAAGTCTTATTTTCCTGGGTAGAGTTGCAAGCCCAGAAAAAGTTCAGTTATCCTCTAGCTTTTTGTCTGGAGGCTATCAGTAGCAATTACCTGAAGAGCCTTGGCTTCTCAGTTGACTGAAAAAGTCCCTCGGTGTTCAGCATAAGGGGATTTCCTGAGGGTGGGGCAGATGCTGTTTATTAATAGGCCTCAATTTGCATTTCAATGGCCCATAGGGTGGGGTTGAATCTCCAAGGGAGGGGCTGCTGCCTCTCCCCAGAGCCCTGGGAAGGAGTAACATGTGCACCATCCTGTGTGGCTGCAACTCAGCAAAAGCTCTGAGCGCCCTCTAAATCCTGAGTGTCCCCACACAGTTCCATTTCAGTGTGCCCTCTCTGTGCCAGAGCCCAAGGTGAGTGGCTGTGGCTATTTTAGCATTTGTCCCGGCTCTGGGCTGTGGAGCCGCTTGGGAGTTTAACCCGAGGACGCTGCTCACACCTAAGACTGCTACTGTCTGTGAGCTCCCAGCCCCTATCGCATGCCTACACAATCCTACCAGGATCGATTGGTGTCCCTGGTTATATGGTCCTCGCGAGTTGCTTTTCTGTTCCTTTTTCCAGACAATTTATCTTTATTTTTGATGTAATTCCAGTTTGGTTCTGGGAGATGGTCTTTGTAGCTTCCATTCACTCTGCCGCCATTTTGGAATCCCTAATTTTTGCCATTTTAATTATGTGTCTTGGTGTATTACTCTTTGGGTCCATCCTTTTTGGGACACTGCACTTCCTGGACTTGTGTGTCTGTTTACTTCACCAGGTTATGGAAGTTTTGGGTCATTATTTCTTCACATAGGTTCTTTATCTCTTGCTCTCTTTTTTTTTCTTGTACACCTATGATACAGATATTTAAAAAAATTTTTTTCTTTATTGATTTTAGAGAGGAAGGGAGAGAGAGATAGGACATTGATGAGAGAGAACATTAACTGGGTGCCTCCTACATGCTTCCTACTGGAAATTGGGCCCACAAGTTGGGCATGTGCCCTGACCGGGAATCAAACCAGTGACCTCCTGTTGCATGGGTCGACACTCAACCACTGAGCCACACCAGCCGAGATTGATACAGATATTATTATGCTTCATGTTTCCCCAAATGTCCCTTAAACTATTCTTTAAAAATATTTTTTTTCTTTTTATTGCTGTGATTGGGTTTTTTCTACCTTGTCTTCCAGATCTCTGATTTGATCCTCTGTTTCATTCAACTTGTTTATTCCTTCCATTGTATTCTTCATATCCGATATTGTATTCTTCATTTCTGATTGGTCCTTTTTTATGGTTTATATGTCTGTTTCTATGTTGTTGAGCATCCTATAACCATTACTTTGAACTCTGAATCTGGTCAATTGTTTGCCTCCATTTCATTTAGCTCTTTTTCTGGAAATTCCTCCTGTTCTTTCATTTGGGGCCTGTTTCTTTGTCTTCCCATTGTATATGCCTCTGTGTTTGTTTCTATGTATTAGATCTGCTATAACTCCCAGTAGCCTCATGTAGTAGGTGTCCTGTGGGGACCAGTGGTGCAGTCCTTGATCACCTGACCTGGATTGCTCTAGGATTGTCCTTTGTGTAGGTTATGTGGGCCCTCTGGTTGTCATTGAGTCTTGAGTGCTATTGGTTCTTTTGTGCTTGGCATTGACCTTTAGGTTGGTTGACTGAGAGGCTCAAGCTCGACTACTGCGTGTGATCTGCTCTACACGTGCCGACCACATGAAGTGGAATTCGTCTCTGCGGTATTTGGTGCCTGCCAGATCTCCCTGTGTATATGCTGCTTGTGAAGCTTACTGGGTCATGCTCTGGTATTGTCTAAAGTTCACGGCTCTCCTTGGGTCCCTCAGGGGGAAGATCTCCTGGTCAGGAGCTCTGAACGCATCTACTTGGAGGAGCTGAATCAAGTTACACAGCCACAGGCCAAGGATCAGCAGAGAATGTTTTCTTTCTTTGACCACCAATTCATCTACTGTAAGAAGGTATTAGAGTTGCTCTTCCTGCTGGACAGCCTATTTAGAACAAAATGGAGAGAGTGAAGCTGAGGGCTGGACGCAGCTGCCCAGAGAAAAGGTGCCACACACAGGTGGTTCCTTTTTTTTTCTTTTTTTTAGAGTATGATAGGCCCTTCCCTGGTCTTGCCCTTAGGGCCAGGATGAGGGTGGCTCTCTGAAGAGTGAGCCTAGTAGCCCAGGGACCATGGGGTGGCCCTCACAGCCTGACCAGGTCCCAGTTTTGTTGAGAACACCCTTCTTCCTGACCTAGCTATCTCTTCTTTCTGAACAAAACCCAGCTTCCCCTCCCTGGGGTCCTCTGCCCCAGGAGCCTCTCTGACTCTCTGACTCTTCTGCACTAACTTCTACTACTCTTTCAAAACATGGCCCAAACAGCCCTGTCCAGCCCTGCTGACCACTGGCTTGGCCGAGGTATGCCTCATGCTCTTTTCTGCTGTGGTATGAGCCCTGACCCTCTGTATCCACAGCTGCCTGCCCACAACACTACCGGTGCCCTTAAAGACCTTTAGGCCAGCCAGAAACTTAACTAAGGACTGAAGCTCCTTATCATAGATTTGGCACATAGTTGGGGGCTGCAGTAGGCCCACTCTGACCTGGGGAGGTGAATGTGTGGCCCACCGGCCCTTCCAGTTACAGGGCAGAGTGAGGCAGGGTTTGGGGATTGGTCAGTAGAACAGTTCAAAGTATGGGGAGGGGCCCAACAAGCAGCCCGGGCCAGTAGCTCACGGTGTCTCTGGCAGAACCTTCTATGCCAGGATGTGCTGTACTACAAGGAATGAGTGGACATGGGTGGCTTGCCGGTGGTGGATCTGGAGGACGGGAAGGACAGAGACTCCACACGAGCATCGAGAATGCCTTCCAGCGGCACTGTGGAGCCATGAGAGAGAACTGCCTGTTGTGTGCCAGGAAGACTGAGCGGACGCAGCACTGGCTCGAGGCTTTGCTAGGGAGAGGGAGCAGGTGCAGCTGCACAGAGACAGAGGCAATACTCCAGTCAGCGTTGCTGCACTGTGACGGCCCCCAGGCCTCCTCACTCCCCTATACAAGGAGCTCAGGACAACCAGTGGCTGGGACAGCATATCTCATGTCTCACAACCCAAGGGCCTCAGGGTTTGATGAAGCTCCAGAGTACCTCTTGGTTTTAGCCCCAGGGCATGGTTCTGCCAGCCTTTCGGGGGTGTTTGCTTCCACCACAGACACATACATGCACACACCCATGCACATTCAAGTGTGCTCAGTTGCAGGGACCTGGGGTGCCCCTTCCAGTGTAAGCCCTGGAGAACACTGGAGTGGGAGGTGGGATTGGCCTCCAGAACCATTCCCATCCCATATGAGCAGGGTATCTCCCCACTGCATCCCCTCCTGTCCATGTGTCCCTTGTCCTCACACTCAGCAGTGACCAGCTGGCTCTTGGCCTAGGAAAAGCCTCTGGTGAAAGATGGAGTAGGGCAAGGGGAGGGTATGGGGAGGGTCCGGAGAGGCTCCTTGGCTCTGCCTGGGGCCAAGGCCATCTGGCTGAGCAGGACACTGAGCCCCTGCAGTATGATGAGCCCTGAGCACTGTGGGACAAGCCAGGTACACAGAGGACTGCACCATGGCCAGGAAGCATAGGACAAGAGGACTGTGGGCAGGGGAGAGGGAGGCAGAAGAGCAACCAAGTCCTGGCAGGGAAACAGGTGTCTCATTTGTGTCCCTCCCTCCCAGGCTTCCCCACTGAGCTGCAGAGGAAGCAGACCATGATGAATGCCACCAAGCTGCAGGCAGCTGGGAAGCTCAAAGGTAAGCAGGTGGTAGTCCCACCTCTACCCTTAGCAGCCTAGCCTTAGTCATGATCAAACTCTTTCCTGACCCCCAGAGCAAAGCGAGCTGGGTCCTCAGTTACCCACTGCCCTTTGCAGGTGTTGGTTCCCAAAGGTTGGTGATAAGGAGGTCATCGCCGATGAAACGTGTGTCAGTATGCAGTTGAGATTCTTGCTCTTGATACCCTTAGAATCCCCAAGCAATACCATTGGTGACAGTGCTCCCTTCCCCAGGCAGGCCGGCTTTATGGCAGTCGTCTTCACAACCACCTGGCAAGGAGCTCCCATCCCCATCACCACAGAGGCATTGTCACTGCCTTGCACAGGGTCTGTGCCCTGCAGAAGCTCCCGGGCCTCAGGCCTTCCCAGGCGCCCTAGCCATCCTCTCTGCATACTACAGGAGGGCGGCCCAGGCCCCTGGGTGTAGTTAGCCCCATAGGAAGCAAGTTCTCCACATAGGAATTTGAGGCAGAGCCTTGGGACAGGCCCCATTCCACGACCCCACAGCAGAGGATGCCACTCTGCCCTGTGCCATCAACTCCCTGGGCACCTATATAACCCTTCTGTCTTCTTATCCAACCCTCGGCCAGCCCTACTACCTGATGCACCAGAACCACCTGGCACTGCCCACCAGTCTGCCCCGGAATAGGTCTTGGTGCTGGCAGAGCCCACGTGGGAGCCATCTACCTACCTTTTGGCACAGCACTAACGGGCTGGTGCCCTTCTGCAAGTGAGCCCATGCCGCCCAACAGCAATGCCTGACCTCTGCTCGCTAGCTTCCAGCGTTCCCTCCCCAAGCCCACCCATGGCATCTGGCCCTCCTCTGCCTATTCTACAAACTGGAAGTGAGCAGGGCTGAGCGAGCAAGAGGCTTGGTGCCCCCAGTATGTGCCAGGTTCTTCCTCACTACGATACACTGGAGACACCAGCTGGCGGGGCAGGAGCCCTACAGCATACAAACCTCTCACCACCTCTGGACCATTGTGGGGCATCCTAGGAGCCGCAGCTGAGACCCACTAGCCAGGTGGACATCTGTGAAGAGACTGGCCACTTCAGACCCTCTACTTTGGACATCTAATTATTCCTCCTCCTCCTGTTTGCTCCAGGCAGAAGGCTGTCTGCCTTCTGCCACTTGGAAATCTGGGCTGTGTGCCTCTCTGCCCCCGTTCTCCTTGCAAGCCCCCAACTGGTGGTGCCAGGCAGCTGGTATCCCTGGAGGGCGGGGACCAGGAATTCTGCAGACGACACCTGGCCCCAGAGCCCACTCGTTTTGTCTCCCAGTTCCTATCTAAACACTCCTGGCTGCTGGACACTCTCTTCACTTGTTATTTGTTTATAATCAGCTGCAAAATTCTGTCAGGGCTTGTCCACCTTCAGCTGTGTGTTGACGCCAGAACCTGGTTCCAGTTTTTGTCTGGATCTGTGTTTCTGAAGTAGGAGAGAAAGAACTGTGTGACGCAGGAAGACCACCGTGCCCGGAGTGGGCACAAGGAGCTGCGAGGACCGGGTTCTGCCGCCTGGCGCCCGGGACGGACCTGCCCACCCAGAGGCCAGTGGGCATGTGGGTTGGAGGGAAGCCCACCCGCATCCTGCCCCAAGGAAGGGTGCCTGTGAGTGCAGCCAGGGCCTGGCTTGTGGGTGCGAACTGCCAAGCCGCCCCTCGGGCCCATGGGAACTCAGCAGCGCAGTCACTGCACCACTATACCCTTTCCAAGCCAGAAACTACATTTATTTCCATAAACCTGTGAAAAATAACCTGGCTGCCAGCCCTTGTTTTCTGTTGGTGTCTGTGCATTTTCTCCTCTGCAAGCCCATCCTACTGTACCTTCCCCAGGCCGTTCCTTAGCCTGGAGGAACGGAGCCCAGCAGCACCCAGAGGTGGGGTGGGCCTCCCCTAGTGGAGACCTGCCTCAGGGCTCTGATGGAGAGAGGCGAAGGTGGCCAGCTTGGGGCTCCAGAACTGGGAAACAGCCGGGAGCTCTCGGGGGGGGGGGGGGTCTGGCAGGCTCAGCCTCCCCTCCCTCTGGGGCCTGGAGGCCCCCTCCCTCCCGGACTGCTCTCCGAGTTTGTGCTCACTGAAGTTAGCAGATGTGTTTGGGGGACAGGCAGTCCATAATCTTCCTGGGTCTCAGCATCTTCCTCCGTGAAGGGGAAGAATGTGTCTTCCCAGGAGGACCTGGGCCACGGGACCAGGTGAAGAGGAATGGGCGTGACCCCTCCCCTTCCCACCTGGGGAAGCAGCCCCACAACTGCCACACCCACACACCCTTACACACTGCCGAGGTCAAGAGCACAGGGCTTGAGTTGGGAGGCAGCTGAGCACCACAAGGGCTTTCGTCTGAAACCCCTGGATTTCCTAACTATAGAGAAATTACACCGCCTCCCAGCCAGGCAAACACCTTGAGAAAAAACCTATGGGAAAAATCATGAAAACCATAACATGCAACACAAGTCAATCTTTATTGAAAACTGCAGTGTTAATACATAACTTTTGTTATAAGAAACGTGCTTTTAATCATTTTAAATCTGAACTCATCTACTTGTCAGATTGCATACAAAAGTAAAATGGTACATCTACACATAATGGACCTGGCTCAGGCTGGGTTCCGTTCCTCTGTACTGACCGACACCTGCGTCCAACCCGAGCGGAGGGAAGCCTCTGGCGCTGGAAGACAATGCTGACTTCAGCTTAAAACTGCACCAAGAAAACAGTCTAAAAAAACCGCATTTAGAAATCATTAAAAAACATTTTTTTAAAGGAACCATTTCCTAGCCAGGCATACCTCTGTGGCCCCTTGGCACCTCTCCTGTAAGTGCTGTCAGAACAACCGTGCAGGGCGCACAGGGCCCTGGGCTCCGCGCCAGTCTGACTACTCATGGGCACCAGGCCCAGGAGACCCACAGGTCTCAGGAGGCTGGGATGGACCGCCTGTCATCTCCACACCCAAATCCTGGACTAGACCATTTCCCAGATCATTCGGGTTTCCTGCACGGAGATGTCTGCATCTCCTCTGTCCCTGTCCCAGTGAGTTGACTTTAGTCCTGGGGACTCTTATTAAATGACGCCACAGGGGTTTTGTTCTTCAAATGAATAGGGTGGAAAAAGGGACAAATCCTCTGAAACATGTAAGATCAACTTTGCAACTTTCTCCCCAAAAGATCAGACCCTCCTCTGAAGCATGTCATCTGCTGCACCTTCAGGAAGCTCAGGGACAAGGACATGGGGACACACACACACACACACAAGGTGTGCCAGAGAGGAGAGCTAAACAGTCTGCCCTTTCCCGAAGCCAATCACACTCCTCCTTACAGACATCCCCACATCTTAGAAAGACCACAGAAGGGCCAGAAGAAGTTGCCTCCACCTCAAGCCATGCACCTTTACACTGCCCTTGCACCCAGTGGAGGGTGGCAGACAGGTGCCCTGTCCTTTCTGGGCAATGCTCAGGCTGGCGATGACTGGGGACAATAGTTTCCACAGGACAGCAGCAGTGTGGGCTGCCTTGTTACAGCAGGCCCACTACTGCTGCGGCCGTTTGCCTGCCTCCACCGCCACCGGCAGGCCACTCACAAGGACCCGTGTAAGGGGACAACACTACTGGATATTAGCACAACCAAAGTGCCTTAAGAATAGGTTTCCTCTCATTATCGAGGTCGTGATGCCACCAGAGAGAGCCTGGCACTGTCTGCCCAGCTTGGGAAGGGCAGGATGTTTAAGGACCAGGTGCCCAGTCCAAGCCTCAGGACCTTCCTCAATCTCCTGTAAATACTACATTTGCATTGCACACAAGAAACATTCACAGAATAGCTACTGGTGGGCCTAATAACCACACCAACAAGAATGCTCTGAAAATATTTAATACAAGAAACATCGAAGGTTCTGAAGCGCCTCTGTGCCTATTACCGCAAATGGCCCTGGCCTGATGTCCCCCTCACACAGGCGGCCAGTGAACGGGACCATGGCCTGCTCATCCAGCCCAGAGCCAAACAAGATTTTTTTTTTTAATTGTCACCTGAGGACACCTTTCCAGCCCTTGTTCAGATAGAGTGGGAGGGAGAGAGAGGAAGAGAGAGAGAAACATCGATGTGAAGGGACACATCGAGTGGCTGCCACCCGCACGACCAACCAGGGCCGGGGACAAACTGTAACCGAGGTACGTGCCCTTAGCGGGAACCGAACCCGGGTCTCTCTGGACTGCAGGCCGACGCTCTAACTGCTGAGCCAAACCGGCCAGGGAAAACAAACAAGATTTCTATAAACAGAGAAACAGATCTCCTAAACTTTAAGGAAGAAACTAAAAAAAAGAAGAAGAAGAAGAAATTAACTATCCATGATCTGTCCATGTTTATAGAAATTAGGGTCTTTGCTTGCCTGTCTCAACTTCTAAAAGAACTATAGGTCAGCTAAAAGATTCTCAAATTAGGGAGCAAAATTTCTTTAAATGTTCCACTATTGTGCTTTGGACATCAAATTATGCAAGTTTATAACAGGACTTCTATTTCTTAATTAATTTTAGTAGACAATATTAAAAATGCTGCTAAAATTATAACCTGGTACTTTTACTGTTCATAAGTCCAGATTCACAGACACTAGACAAGAGCTACCTTTTACCAGCATTTTGATAGCTGATGCCCTGAGAGTTACAAATTAAAAAGATGTATTCCATAATGCAAAAATATTTAATAAAGTCTCTCAGCTCAACCTGACAAAAGAAAAAAGATTTAAAAGGAAAATTACAGGGGGAAAGTGTTTATGAAGCTGCTGTAAATGGAGGAAAATGCAACCCGTTCTGCTTTCTCCTGAAAACACCATTTAACTTCGTGCTCATGAAAACTCACCCCGTGTGGGCCGAGTCGCATGCAAGCCTGAAGCAGCACCCTTTATGACGTCTAATGGTTTCCTCATAATTTCAGATGACTCCACCTCTTACAGGGTGTGTGTGTGTGTGTGTGTGTGTGTGTGTGTGTGTGTCTGCATTCTCATTTTGTTTGGTCTTTTTAAAAGTATGTACTAAAATCACACTTTCTCCTATCTATTACACTAAACTGAGGCAGCAGAGTTCTCTATTACTGGGTCAGTTCAGTCCCTGAAACCTATTGATATTACAAACCGTCCACTATACAGATGGAATCACAGCACAGAGTTTGAGAAGTGTACACAAACTGTGCACACACACACGCGTTAAATGCTCATGAAGCAATTTAAAGTACTTATCAGTAAACACACTATGTTAACAGACATTAGGAATAAGGAATCTTTTCTTTACAATGATCCATGCAAAAATATTCCTAAACTTCTTATAAATAAAATATGAAAAAAACATTACAAAGAATACTTACTATAAGAAATAAGGTTACCAAAGGCTCAGGGGTGAGGTGCCCCACTCAGCAATCTGGCTGAATGCCTAACCAGAGGAGGAGCCCTGACCCACATGTCAGAGACATGGAAGAGTAGGCCCCCTCTCGGACCAAAGCACACAGCACTCGGAACAATGATGGGCTGAGACAGGGGAACCCTCCCACCTGCCTGACGAACTGCTGAATGGGGACAACCCTCTCCCCACACTCCCTCTGACTCTATCTGAGAACAGATTCACTCTCTTCAATACAAGTAGAGACCATTTAGGCAAAAAAAAAAAAAAAAAAAAAAAGAAAGAAAGAAAGAAAGAAAAAAATCCTTGATTTCTTATATACAATATTCATATTTTAAACAAAACCCTCCCATAGCAAACCCTGGCAGACAAATGCGTTCTGATGCTGCCCGGCCCGTGCGTCTGTCCTGGCTTTGAGCCCAGTGCCCTCAGCTGCCGAAGAGGCTCACAGACAGCAGACACCAGGGCTTCTTCCCTCACCCCTCCCCACACCTGTGTCCAGATAGTCGATGATTAAGTCCCCATCAAGTAGACAGGCCCAAATTAGCCACCGCCCTACCTCTCTACAACAAGTAATCAAATAAAGTTTTGCTCCAGTTTTAATAGCTCTTAAATATACAACTTTCTTCAGAACACACAGTTGCAATCTTTACCCTTCGTTGTGGGGGCAAGAATAGCAATGCCTACATATGCTTTCAGCTAACTCAAACATCTCTCAGGAAAGAAAAAAGAAATGATTTTCTAAGCTAAATCAAGAAGAGAATAATACCTCCTCCAAGTTGGTTTATTTCACATATCTTACATCCCAGGAATATAATTTAATTCTACATAGGGCTTTTCCAATAGAGATAGAGCAAACAGCATCTCTATCTGTATGAGCTTTGTCATGAACATTTACATAGCAATCCAGAGAAAACTGCTTTGCTGATAGACAAACTGCCTCTTGCCCCAAAATGTACTGGTCATTCAACTCTAATCTTTCATGATAATCTCTTAAGAATGTCTGTGTCACACCGACTCCACCAGCCTAAATGAAAAGACAGGGAGGTCCATTAACTTGGCAGCAGGCCAGTAGCCATGGCCAGGCCCACCATACACTCCCTATCCCTGCAACTCTCTCCTATCCCTGCAACTCTCTCCCTATCCCTGCAACTCTCTCCCATCCCTGCAACTCTCCCATCCCTGCAACTCTCTCCCTATCCCTGCAACTCTCTCCCTATCCCTGCAACTCTCTCCTATCCCTGCAACTCTCTCCTATCCCTGCAACTCTCTCCTATCCCTGCAACTCTCTCCTATCCCTGCAACTCTCTCCCTATCCCTGCAACTCTCTCCTATCCCTGCAACTCTCTCCCTATCCCTGCAACTCTCTCCTATCCCTGCAACTCTCTCCTATCCCTGCAACTCTCTCCCTATCCCTGCAACTCTCTCCTATCCCTGCAACTCTCTCCCTATCCCTGCAACTCTCTCCCATCCCTGCAACTCTCTCCCTATCCCTGCAACTCTCTCCCATCCCTGCAACTCTCTCCCATCCCTGCAACTCTCTCCCTATCCCTGCAACTCTCTCCTATCCCTGCAATTCTCTCCTATCCCTGCAACTCTCTCCTATCCCTGCAACTCTCTCCCTATCCCTGCAACTCTCTCCCTATCCCTGCAACTCTCTCCCAGTGCAGTTAGTGTGAAAGGAACAGGTGGCTAAAAACTCAAATTTCGTGTTTCCAACTGGCAACCCACATCACCCCGAAAGTTGAAGAACTATCGGGAGACCTCGGATGCTTATGAAGAGCCCACTCTAAAACTCACACCTCGGGGACTCTGCACACATTGAACAGCGCACCAGTGATACAAGTGGTGAATGTTTTCCATCCCTTTGGATTTTGCATACGATGGTTTTGCATCAGTCACTGCTGATAGTTTGAGCAAGCTTTGTTTTTGTGTTTGTTTTTTTACACATGCATTCAACTAGATATGATTTCAGAATACATTAATACTTCCTTTGTATCAGTACAGTTAGCTAAAAAAGTTTCCAGGAGCCCCCAGGCAGGATTTGCTTTAAGACCAATCCACAGTCAGTTGGGAACTGAGACCACAGGCTGGGCCACAGCAGTGCTCGGCTAAGTGTCGAGAGCAGGAGAGAAAGTCCTGGTTGGGGGCGGGGCCTGCAGCACCAGCTGTGAATATCCGGATGAGCCGCACAGCGCCAGCCTCGCACCTGGCCGGGGAGAAAGACACACGGTCAGAGCTCTCCTGGCACTGCTGCTCTGAAGAGGAGGCATTCAGTCGGAGGAGGAGGAGACCCGAGAACAGAAGGGGCGGCGGAGGAAAGGCCACCGCCTCTGGTTCCCACGGACCGCACGCACACTCCTGGTTACAGGTGGAAAGCCACCTGTCCTGCAGGAGCAGGTACAAGGAACAACGTGCACAGTGTACAGAGCGAGTCCTGAGTGGTTTCCTTCTTCCTTCTACTTTCTGGAGACCAAATGAACAATAGGAACGAAAGTTGAAACACTCGCACTGCCCTCGAGGGAACAGTCAGGCGCATCTTTCTCACGAGTGCAGGTTCGCGGGCTTCATCGGAGCCAAGGGCCCAGGCCTCCCAGCCACTTACGTCTGCAGGCGATCACCACTGCGGGGGCACGTAGCTGTAAGTGGGCGTTCCCGGGCCCCGATACGCGGGCACAGTGACTGGGTGGGGGGTGACAGGAGTTGGGGAGTGGGCAGTCAGCAGGGCACCTGGAAGAAAGAACAGCGTGTCTCAGTGACAGGCAGAGGCTGGCCTTGGTCACCAGGCACAGCTCTAGGCTGCCTGACAGGAGGAAGGGCCTCGGCCGTGAGCGCTGTCAGACTGATATCTCACAGCTCAAAGGGGTACACCCGGCAAGCTCCTATGGAGATCCATGGGGGAACCTTCATGCCTTCCCCTCACATCAGCATATTCAATTATTTGTGTGGATTAGGTGATAAAAGACAAAACAGATAACATTATTATTCAGCCTTAAAAAAGAAATTTGTCACATGCTACAATATGTGTGAACCTTGAGAACATTATGCTAGGTAGAAAAAAACAAGTCATAAAAGACAGATACTGTATGAGTCCACTTATTTGAAGTCCCGAGAGTAGCCAGATTGATGGAGACAGAAAGCAGAATGGTGGTGTCAGGAGCTGGGGGCAGGGACAGTGGAGTCGCTTAAGGGGACAGTGCTTCAGTTCTGCAAGATAGAAAAGTTCTGGAGATGTTTCACAACAGTGTGAATATACTTAACACCACTGAACTGTACAATTAAAGATGGTTAATATGATAACAAATAAACGGAAGAGAGGGACTGAGGGATATTCCAAACTAAATAAGCTTCTGAGTACACTAACCTGGAGAAAAACGTGGAGAAAAACCAGCGATTATCTGAGTCCACTTACAGACCAGCACTACCTCAAACACAACAGCATCGTCTTCATTTCTTCACTCTCCTGTCTCCCTGTTCACACCCATCCCAGCCCTACCTTCACCTCCCTCTACCTGCCTCAATAGGTAGTTCTGTCTGTGCCACAATCTCCTTTGCCTTCGAAGATAAGTATGGGAAAACCAAATAAAATAAAGACTAAGAAGAAACATCTTTCTCTCTGGCACAATTTTCTTACATTGAAGTAAAGCATAGAAAACACAGAGGGAACAATATATTTTCTTTTTTTGTAAATTCCAGCCATGGGCAACAGGTCCCGTGTACCTGGCCCCCTGCCACAGGGGTGCCAGGGCTCTGAGTAGATGTGCCCATCCTAGCCAAGGACCTCATCTCTCAGTGGTTTACTTTCTTTTGGAAATAAAGTTGATGAATACCAAAGGATTTCTACAAGTAGCTGTGATCTCTATTAACACAAGACTAGCTTTCCTGGACGGACAACCTGGCCGGCAAAGGAGCCCACACTAAAAGGAAGTACAAGAGATTCAGCCCCACAATGCAAAGGTGCCCTTGTGAGTAAGCTCTACCTGCTCCCAGAGGAGACCTGGTCACCCCTAGTTCCTACTGCCAAATGGCTCAGCTCAGCAACAAAGTGGCTCCCTCACGTTCAGAGAGCACCATCCATGCATACTCCACCAGGAGGGCACTTGGTTCAGGGTTTAGTACTTTAACCCCAACTCCTGTCTCGTCTCAATTGAAAGGAGAAGGGGAAAAAAAGAAAAAGATAATATGCTCTTCCTTCCCAAAATAATATGTGTTTCCACACAACTCTAGACATAAGGAATCAAGACAAAGGATCAGAGTGTTAGGGGCCTCTCCCTTCCCAGCTCTCATGCCACCACAGAACAGGCAGCCCAGAGTCAACTCACCTGCTGACATGGCCATAGTAGTCCCAGCCACCATGCCCATGGTGACCCCGTTGCCTCTCGGAGGAGGGATGGGAGCTGGGTACACTGTCGCCGGCATGCCGTTGGGCTGCACCACCGTGGTGTGATGGATGACATGAGGGGGAGCTGCATACAGGGGCTGTGTGTAGAATGTGCCCTGCTGTGGAGAGGGAGAGAGACAACTGCAACAGGGTCCCACACCCAGTGGGTAAGAGCCCAGACGGGATCTGCATGTACAGTGCCCACGAGCGCCATCAAGAGCCTCACAGTGCACCCCAGGCCTACCTGTGCGTATGGGCTCTGCTGGGGGTAGGCACTTCGCACAGGGTACACAGCAGTCTGGTAAGGGTTGGGGGAGGAGGAGTACGGTGGCACCGTCCCGCTGGTGGGGGAACAGGACACTTTGTAAGGTGTTCCGGGAGTGTAACCTGAAACACAGAAGCCCAGTGATCTCATCACACACCCACATCTGGCCGAAGCAGGGAAGGAACCAAGTGTGAGTGAGACGCGCAGGAGATGACACCGCTGTGCCCATCTGTGCCCCACTGCGGCCTGACTTCAGTATTGATGTGCAGAATGTGTGCGCAGGGTGGGGGTCACATGGGAAGAAGGAATAAAAACAAAGTAAAAAGTTATACTGAAAATACACTCAGAGAGAAAGGAAAAAACACCTTTCCTGATGGAATATATACTGGTACAGCCTTGCTGAGGCATTAAAAGCATGTATGTCTCTTAGTTCCATAATTTCACTTATAGAAATTTGTTTTTAATAAATAAGCATGGGCTTCCAGTCAAGATGGTGGCATAGGTAAACTCAGTACTCTAACCCCCCTACAACCAGAATTACAACTAACCTACAGAACCACCATCACTCAGAACACCTGAAATCTAGCTGAACAGAGTCCTATAACTAAGGACACAAAGACGCACCACATCAGACTGGTAGGAAGAGCGAAGGCGCTGCATGGTCTGGTCCCACACCCACATGCAGCGGATAAAAACTGGGAGGAATACCTTGGCTGGGGACCAAGGGGTCCCGAGTGCCGGGAAAAGTACTCATAATGTCTAGCTAGGAAAACAGCAGGGACTTAGCTGAGTGAGACAGGGCCTCTGAAATTACAGATGTTCCTCTTAAAGGGCCTGTGCGTGGACTTACTTCGACTTATGCACTATGAGCTCCAGAACTGGGGCAGAAGCTCAAAAGGCGTCAGGGATATACAGGAAGGAAATTCAATAGTAGAGTATGTAAATCCAAGGAGCAAACCATCGATTTGGAATATAAGGAAGCAAAACACGCCCAATCAGAACAGCAAAAAGAAAAAAGAATCCCGAAAAATGAGGATAGTGTAAGGAGCCTCTGGGACAACTTCAAGCGTGCCAACATTCGCATCTTGGGGGTGCCGGAAGGAGAAGAGTGAGGACAAGAAATCGAAAACCTGTTTGAAACAATATGGCAGAAAACTTTCCTAACTTGGTGAAGGAAACAGACATACAAGTCCAGGAAGCATAGAGAGTCCCAAACAAGATGAACCCCAAGAGGCCCATTCCAAGACACATCATCATCAAAATGTAAAAGGTTCAAGACAAAGAGAGAATCTTAAAAGCAGTAAGAGAAAGGCAGCTAGTTACCTACAAGGGAGTTCCCATAAGGCTATCAGCTGATTTCTCAAAAGAAACTTTGCAGGCCAGAAGGGAGTGGCAAGAAATATTGAGTGATGAAAAGCAAGAACCTACAACCAAGATTACTCTATCCTGCAAAGCTGTCATTTAGAATCGATGGCCATATAAAGACTTTCCCAGACAAGAAAAAGTTAAAGGAGTTCATCACCACCAAACCGTTATTATATGAAATGATGAAGGGTCTTTTTGAAGAAAAAGATAAAATATATGAACAAACAAAATGGCAATGAATACATAGCTATCAACAATGGAATCTAAAACAAAATGAACAGGCAGAACAGAAACATTCTCATAGATACAGAGAACATTTTGTTGGTTGCCAGATGGGAGGGGGGTTGGGGGGTGAAAAAGGTGAAGGGATTAAGAAGTAAGAATTCATTGCTAGACTGACAAATCTCAAAGGGAAAGGGGTTGAGGGGTGGGAAGAAATAAACCAAAGAACTTATATGCATAACCAATGGACACAGACAATAGTGTGGGAAAAGGCGGGAGGGGGGTGGGAGTGGGGAGGAGGGGGTCAATGGGGGAAAAATGACGAACATCTGTAATACATTCTACATTCAACAATAAACATTTTTTAAAAAGATAAATAAAAAAAGAAAAGGTTGTTAGGACAATCATAGCATAAAGGTTAAAGGGGGTAAAAGCATTAAAAAATAACTACACCTACTTCAACCTGGTAACAAATTCACAATATAAAAATATTTTTAATAATAAGATAAAAGATAAAAGGAGGGGAACAAAAGGACAAAATCCTGCATAGGAAAATGAAGATAAGATACTATCAGCAGAAAAAAACAACTATTTTATTTTATTTTTTATTAATTATTTATTTTTGTTACAAATGTCTCTCCTTTTCTCCCCCAATTCCCCCCTCACCCCCCTCGCCGCCCTGTCCCCAGCTTTGTTGTCCATGTTCATTGTTCATGCATAGATGTATATAAGTTCTATGGTTTATCTCTCCTGCACCACTCCCTCTTCTGGGGATTGTCAGTTTGTACCCCACTTCCATGTCTCCGGGACTACCCCATTCCTCAGACTGTTATGTTCATTATATTCCACAAATAAGTGAGATCATATGATACTTGTCTCTGTCTGGCCTGTTTTGCTTAGGATAATACTTTCCAGGTCCTCCTATGTCGTCTCAAAAGATAAAAAATCTTTCTTTCTTACAGCTGCATAGTACTCCATTGTGTACATGTACCACCGCTTTTTTTTTTTAAATTATTTATTTATTTTTTTGTTACAGATATTTCACCTTTTTTACCCCATTGGTACCCCCCTCCCCACCCCACCCCCACCCCATCCCCAGCTTAGTTGTCCATGTCCATTGGTCATGCATACATGCATATAAGTTCTGTGGTTTATCTCTTCCCACCCCACCCCCACCCCCTCTTCTGAGGGATGTCAGTCTGTGCCCTACTTCCATGTTTCTGGGTCCACCGTATTCCTCAGACTGTTATGTTCATTATATTCCGTATATAAGTGAGATCATGTGGTATTTGTCTTTTTCTGCTTGGCTTCTTTCACTTAGGATAATACTTTCCAGGTCCCTCCATGTCGTCTCAAAGGATAAGAGATCTTTCTTTCTTACCGCTGCATAGTACTCCACTGTGTATATATACCACAGCTTTTTTATCCATTCGTCTACTGATGGACACTTGGGCTGTTTCCAGATCTTAGCTATTGTAAATAGTGCTGCTACGAACATGGGGGTACATATATTCTTTCTGATTGGTGTTTCAGGATTATTAGGGTATATTCCTGGAAGTGGGATCACTGGGTCAAATGGAAGTTCAATTTTTAATGTTTTGAAGCAACACCATATTGTTTTCCATAGTGGCTGCACCGGTCTGCATTCCCCACCAGCAGTGTACTAGAGTCCCCTTTTCTCCACACCCTCACCAACACTTGTTCTTTGATGATTTGTTGATGGCGGCCATTCTGACAGGTGTGAGGTGATACCTCATGGTTGTTTTAATTTGCATGTCTCTGATGATTAGTGATGTTGAGCATTTCTTCATATGTCTCTTAGCCATTTGTATGTCCTGATTGAAGAGGTATCTATTTAGGTCCTCTGCCCATTTTTTAATTGGGTTCTTTGTCTTCCTTTTGTTGAGCTGTATGAGCACTCTACATTGGAAATTAACCCCTTATCAGATATATCATTGGCAATTATGCTCTCCCATACAGTGGGTTGCCTTTCCATTTTGATGATTGTACCTTTTGCTGTGCAGAAAGAAGCTTTTGAGTTTGATGTAGTCCCATGTGTTCATTTTCTCCTTTGTTTCTGTTGCCTTAGGTGGTATATTAGTAAAAATTCTGCTGTATATGATGTCTAAAATTTTGTTGCCTACATTTTCTTCTAGGATTTTTATGGATTCATAGATCACATTTAAGCCTTTTATACATTTTGAGTTTATTCTTGTGTAGGGTGTAAGTTGATGGTCTAGTTCATTTTTTGGAATGTAGCTGTCCAAGTTTCCCAACACCATTTATTAAAATGGCTGTCTTTACTCCACTGAATGCTCTGGCCACCTTTGTCAAATATTAATTGAGTATATTGCCTTAGGTCCATTTTTGGGTTCTTTGTTCTGTTCCACTGGTCTATATGCCTGTTCTTGTGCCAGTACCAGGCTGTTTTGATTACAAAGTGGTATTGTAGTATAACCTGAAATCTGGTAATGTGATCTCTCCAACTTTGTTCTTTTTTTTTTTTTTTTCAAGATTGCTGTGGCTATTCGAGATATTTTTTAGTTCCATATGAACTTTTGAAGTATTTGTTCTAGTTCTGTGAAGTATGTCGTTGGTATTTCAATGGGCATTGCATTGAATCTACAGATTGCTTTGGGTAATATGGACATTTTAATGAAGTTAATTCTTCCAATCCATGAACAAGGTATGCACTCCCACTTTTTTATATCTTCTTCTATTTCTTTTTTGAATGTCCTGTAGTTTTCTGTGAATAGGTCCTTTATTTCTTTGGTTAGGTTTATTCCTACGTATCTTAATTTTTTTGCCGCAATGGTAAATGGGATTTTTGTTTGTTTGTTTGTTTCTCTTTCTGTGAGTTCATCATCATTGGTGTATAAGAATGCCATCGATTTCTTGATGTTAATTTTGTATCCTGCTACTTTGCCAAATTCATTTATTAAGTCTAGTAAATTTCTCATGGAGTCTTTGGGGTTTTCTAATTATAGTATCATGTCATCTGCAAATAATGACAGTTTCACTTCCACCTTTCCAATTTGGATCCCTTTATTTTTTTCTTCCTGTCTGATTGCTGTGGCTAAGACTTCCAGTACTATGTTAAATAAGAGTGGTGAAAGTGGGCATCCTTGTCTTGTTTCTGTTCTTAAGGAAAATGCTTTTAGTTTTTTCCCACTGAGTATGATGTTGGCTGTAGGTCTTTCATATATGGCCTTTATTATGTCGAGATATGATCCCTCTATTCCCAGATTGATGAGCATTTTTATCAGA